ATAACACACCGGAGAAGTTATAGAGATGAAAGAGGAGAAGGGAATCTTACATCCTCACTCAACTCACGCTACTCTTTGATTCTCTCTTGGAGAGAGCATGTGCTCTTATTTCCCAAAGGTCTCTTCCACGCTTCCTTGTCTTAGATGACTTCACCTGCTATCGTAACCAAGATATCCTGCACCTCCTGATTAGATGCCCCGCACCCCTTGCCTGGAATACCTTACACTCCCTTGAGTGCTTAATGACACCGCAGTTCCTCTCTAGAATACCACTAACATGCCATGCATCACAATACACGACTAGAGCAACAAAAAACACTCTCTGTTTTCCAAATAACACGCTTTGCCTAGTCAACTTCCTCTATCTTCTTTGCTTAGAGCTTTTCCTTTAAACTATCAACCTTTGCCCTCTGTACTTTTGAATAACCTTTTAGCGTTCCTATATGCTTGTTGTTTGTGCCTTTGTAATCCTTGATTTGCTGTTTAGTAGATTGATGGTTCACAGTAGCTCCATCTGTCAAAGCATCGTTAGCTATGCAATTTCTTGCATAGTGCTCCCACCCATAACTTCTGGTCTCTCTACGTCGAGCTCACTTGAAAGATCCGCATCAACTTTATCCTCCGTTGCCATGGAACTAAAGAAACCACCACAGAGAAAAGAGACTTGCCACTCCTTGGCTCACACTCTTGTGTCTTATCCATTTCAATTTCTCTGTTTGGAAGTTCTTGTGAACTTTCAACAACTTGCTGCTGCACACTCTACTCGCGCCTTCTTTGCACTATACATCTGCACCTAGCACGACACTCTTGCATACCCATCTATGCTCTTGTACCGTTATGCTTGAGCTCAGTATGCTCCTTTGCAACTATTGTTTTACTAGTCCACATATCACCAGTACCTACTCGTATATAGTAGCTCCAATTGTCGCAACATTTCCCTGAGCCTATATTGGTTGCCAAATCATCTATCTGTCAATGAATGATTTTCTCTTCTGATTGAACCAGATCTTTCAATCAACTCCAGATATAAAATTTATGCAATACTCTAATCGTCTCTGACCAATCATGATCTCCCTCAATTCGCCATGTGATCAAGCATGATCTCCAATGATCTACTTCTCGATCTGCATTTGGTTGTCTAATCTAGTCAAAATCTACCTATTCTAACCTCTTTAGTGATTCCGTTGCATTTCACAAATCTGGCAACCTTTCTTCGATTATTGAAGATTACAAACTCTCGTGTTTTGACAATCTTCAAAAGTCGTTTAGAAGCTTACTATTCTAACTTCGCGGTTGCATCTGGAATGGTCTATTTGGCTAGAACCAACCTTCGTTGCACTTCCAGGGCCTTATTGAAAAACATCTCCTAAAGCTGGGCCATACCATAATTTCTAGAAAAATCTGGGCCCTCATTGCAATTTTCCAAAACTCTAGGAATATTTCGTTAACAAAGGGAATATTTCGTTTTTGACGCCATCACTGCGTTAGCCCTCGTCATGCTGACGCCATTAGCTTAGACCTCTCCTGGGTTGAATTCCAGGTTAGGTCGGGTCACGCTCGCTCATCTGCATCGCTTACTGATGTCATCCCTCTGTCAGCCCTTGCTGACGTCATCTCCATGCGCGTGCCTTCTCCAAAAAAGAAATTAACCTCCATACACTGCTTGAATTTCGAACCCTTGACCAAAGGCTCAACCTCCATGCACCCAAATCACTTTGGCATAGTAGCTCTTGTGATACATAGTTTCCAAATAATTATATTTGAACTATTTTCACTTGGTCTTTACATCTTTTCCCCTTGTCAGACTGAACTTTCCGATAACATTCCGGCGAAGTCCGACGAAACTTCAGGATGGGCATGGGGGCACGTGGAACCTCATTTTGGGTTGGTTTTTCTGGGTCTAAATTTCTCTCGTTGAGACCTTCCTTATGCTATGCTCAAAACTCAATTTCGGGCAACTTGATTTCTGCAACATTTCAGAAAAACACACTATTTTTCACTATCAAGCTCTGATACCAATTGTTGGGGATTCGGGATCTTGTCCAAGACCTTTCAAAAATCATACCAAGTAAAAAACACACACACACCCAAGGAGACATAGTATTTAACGTGATTCGGCCTTAATGCCTACATCTACGGGAGAAAAACTGGTTATCATTATAATAATGGAGAGATTACAAAGAGAATAACAATAGAGGAGAAGCTTATACCATCCTCACTCCTCACACTCACTCGTCTCCCTCTCACACACAGAGGGAGACTCACTATTTACCTCACATCTCTCACTCTTTTTGGTTTTTCTCTCTCATATAGCTATCCTCTTCAGTTTCTCTCTTTATACACTGAAGAGAGAAGTGTGAAAGACATCATTCTTGACTTCCATTAGCCTATATTCCTAACTTTTGGTGTCTCACCGTTCAGCTACTTTCGGTGGAGAATAATCACCATGTAGACACCCCATTTTGACTAGCTCTAAGACTTGGGCGCTTTCTTTTGATTATCCAATGATGAAAACAAAGGTTTAAAAATGCGATGTTACGTAACGGTTTCGGCCGTTATGTAACGGTTGTGGCGGTAGGCACCACACGTTACCCCCGGTTTTGTGGTGTGATTGAAATTTGCAGGTGTATCGGCTGTTACGGCCGTCGTAGCGGTCGTAACAGTGCCGTAACGGCCGTAACGGCCCGTTACGCACGTTACAGGGCCTCTTTAGGTGATTCTTTTCAAAAAAAAAAAAACAAAAGAAAAGGCTGAAGATGTTGTAAATATCTTTATTATAATTGAGCTTTTGTCTTTCGTCTTTACAGCCCGTGAACCACTAAAATGAGATTCCATAGATGTGTCGGCCATCCACAAATTTTCAGATCTGAAATACGGATGAGTGAGAAATAGAGAGAGAGAAGAGAGAAGAGGGAAGAGGGAAGAGATGAACCTGTGTTGAATCTTCAAGGTTGGCTCTGTTCTGTGTTGAAACCAGTGACTCTCCGACTGCCCCTTTGTGTTGAAGACGAAGTTAGTGCATAGTTTGATCTGTTGCATTTTTTTATTATTTTGTTTGTTCAGCTGCCTTTCTGGCTAGCTTCCTGGGAAAGATATATATCATTTACTGACCTTGGGAAGATATATAGCATTTGTTTTTCTTTGTGTGTGGTCTCCAATTGGCAATTTTTTTTATTTTTTTTTAAACAATGATCTCCAGGCTTTAAATTTTGTAAAACCTACAAAATTTATGTGATATATTTAGTAATTTTAGTTTAAATATATATATATATATATATATAGAGCTATGCACTTATTTTTAGTATTTTATATATAATAATTAGTGATTGATTTTTCTTTTTTATAATATCTAAAAATCATAACACATTTAATTATATGAATACATTTTATATATGTCAGTTTTTATTGAATTTTTTTTTTCTTGCCGGTTATTCAAAAAGATAACAAATACTCAAGTGATTGAACCTCAAAAAACAACTATGTATGAATTTTTTTCTTCATAATTTATTTTTTAATTTTTATATGATCACGTTAGCATGTAAACTCTAAATATATAAAGAGTAGTTGCATTTTTTTTATAATCATTTCATTTAATATTTAATTATAAATATTTTTTATTTTGTTATTGTAATGTGTTGTGATAACAATGTTGAAGTCACTAATTTTTTTTTAAATATCTTTTTATAAGAAAAAAAAAATCAATACCTCAAAAAAAATTATTTATAATTTATTTTTTAATTTTTATATGATCACGTTAGTATATAAACTCCAAATATATAAAGAGTAGTTGCATTTTTTTTTTATAATCATTTCATTTAATATTTAATTATAAATATTTTTTATTTTGTTATTGTAATGTATTGTGACAACAATGTTAAAGGCATTTAAAAATATCTTTTTAAAAAAAAAATCAATACCTCAAAAAAAAATCTTTATAGTTTATTTTTTAATTTTTATGTGATTACATTGGCATGTAAAATCAAAATGTATAAATAGTAGTTGCATTTTTTATAACTATTTTATTTAGTATTTAATTTGAAATATTTTTTTAAATTTTTTGGAATTACTTATTTGCATTTGGATAAAATGAATTTGTAATTACTATTTGTTTTAAAGTATTCTTTTTATATAATAATACAAGTTGGTATATTTTTTTTTTATTTTATCATCACACGAATTGCACAAGTGTACTGCAGATTTGGTAAAAGTCTATTTTATAATATTTTTTCCATTTTATCTTTTTGTATTTTTTGTTGAAATTTTAAAATAGCATTGCTTTCATTTCAGTTTTTATATTTAATAATTTTTAATATATATATATATATATATATTTAGGCTCTTATTTATTTTCTTATTTTTGTCACTGTTTATCTTATATACAATAGTTAGTGATTGATTTTTTTTTGTAAAATATCTAGAAAACATAGCACCTATAATTATATATTAATACATATTTTATACATGTCAATTCTTTTTGATTAGTTTATTTTATTTTTATTTACAGGTTATCCAAAAAGAGAATGAATATTCAAGTTTAAAAAAAAAAAAATCTTTATAATTTATTTTTAAATTTTTATATGATTACATTAGCATATAAAAACTAAATGTATAAATAGTGGTTGCATTTTTTTTACAATCATTTCATTTAATAAATGTAAATATTGTTTATTTTGTTAGTTCAAGTTTTGCTAAAAAATATTTTTGTAAACATTTAAAATAAATAAAAAATATATATCAATGATGCAGAATTCAAATTCAAAAATGCCACGACAAAGGGGTGCTAATGATGAACTCCCAAGTGATGATATTGGTTGGAAATTTGGAACTCAAGTTGAATGTACTAGACATCATATTATTTGCAAATTTTGTGGACGTCACATTAAGGTGGGATGACGTGTTTCAAACAACATTTAGCACATCAAACGGGGCAAGTGCATTCTTGTCCTAATGTTAGCAGAGATGTGATGCAAGAAATGATGAAACATTTACAAAACAAGAAAATGAGTAAAGCAGAAAAACAAAAGAGAAAAACTGAATTGGAAGCACACATTAGAGGAGATGATCTCTATGATGAGGATGAGGGGGGAGATTTTGTAGATCTTCGAGATGATAACTCTGACTCTGATCCAGAGCTGACTAGGGCTAGACAAGCAAGTATTCGTTTACAACAACAATGGGAGGAAAGGCAACAATTTAGACAGTGTTGCAGGTCATGGATCACAATACAATGCAGGTGGTAGTTCTGGTGTAGGGGGTAATGGTCAAAGAATGCCAAAAGGGTCAGGTATTGCTAATGTTTTTCGTCCATCACAATCCGTACGTGAAACTGATAGGAGTGGACGTAATTGGATTAAGCCCAATGCTCCTGAAGCAAAGTTGAGGGCAATGGATGTAGAACTCCAAAAGAGCAAGAGTATAAAGCAGCGAAAAATCTCTACAATGAATTTACAGAAGTTAAGAGAGAGATTGGGACGGGCAGTGTCCAAGTTTATATTCTATAATCGTATTCCATTAAATGCAGTTGATTCAGAATATACACAACCCATGCTTGATGTTGCTGCTGAAGTAGGGCCAGGAGTAAAGGGTCCTAGTGCTTATGAAGTTTCTGAAGTATATTTGGGCATGGAGCATGATGAAATGACAGAATGGATAGGATCATTCAAGGGCATTTGGGCAGAGAGAGGTGTATCCATCATGTGTAATGGTTGGAGCAGTCTAACTCGGCAACACATCATCAACTTCTTAGTGTATTGCAATAAAGGTACTATATTTCACAAATCAATTGATGCCTCTAATATTATTAGTAGGACTGTGGAATATTATTTTGGGTTATTAGATAAAGTTGTTGATGAAATTGGAAAACAATACGTTGTTCAAGTGGTAACTGATAATAAACCTGCACTGAAAGCTGCCGGTAAAATGTTAATGAGAAAAAGAAAACATTTATATTGGACTGTTCAGCACATTGTATCGATTTCATGCTAAAAGACATAGCCAATAAGAAAAGTGTAGCAAAGGTGATTGAAGATGGTAAAACCATTACCAATTTCATTTATAATAGTGGATGGGTGTTGGATTTAATGAGAAAATTCACTGGAGATAGAGAATTGATTCGACCTGCCATCACTCGATTTGCTATAAATTTTATTGCCATTGAGAGTATTGTTAGATATAAACAGTAATTGAGAGCTATGTTTAATGGTGATGAGTGGAAGAATTCTAGATGGGGGAAGGCAAAGACTGGGCAGCCTTACAATGTGAAAAAAATTATTTTGGAAAATGAGTTTTGGCAGAAAGCAACAGAGCTTTGTAAAGTTTATGAGCCCCTAGTTAGAGTATTGAGGTTGGTTGATGGGGATGAGAAGCCAACAATGGGTTTCATATATGAAGCTATAGATAGAGCAAAGTTGGCAATTAAAAGAGATTGTCGCTACTACACAGACTATTGAAAAATTATTGATACTCGATGGTCTTTTCAATTGCATCAAGATTTGCATGCGGCTAGTAAGTGTTACGATTTCAATTATAAAATGTATATTTATTTACAATTATTAATTGTCTTCTTATTTTTGAAGGATATTTTTTAAATCCTCAATTCCAATATGGTGTTACCTCATTCAATAAAATGATAAGAGAAGTGATGGATGGACTTAAAAAAGTAATTACCAGACTGGAGCCTCATATGGATACTTAAGTGAAAACAACAAATCAAGTACGTACCAATTATTTAAATTTTAATAGTAATAATCTACTTTTGCAAATGTTACTTGTAATGATTGTCCAAATTGTAGTTGTTGCTGTTTCGAGATAAACAGGAAACTTTTGGTACTCCTTTAGCACAAAGAGCATGGAAACAATCAAATCCAGGTTTTATTTTCAAAATTACAAATTTACAATATATAAATACTTAAATAATTTTCTATCATATTTTGATTTATGTATAATGTAATGTAATTTTGTGCAGCTGAGTGGTGGATTATTCATGGCAGTTGTGCTCCTGAACTTCAAAAAATAGCTGTGAAAGTATTAAGTCAAACCACCACATCATCTCACTGTGAACGTAATTGGAGTACTTTTAGTCTCATCCATACGAAGACGAGGAATAGATTCGGCTGGTAAGTGTTACGATTTCAATTATAAAATGTATATTTATTTACAATTATTAATTGTCTTCTTATTTTTGAAGGATATTTTTTAAATCCTCAATTCCAATATGGTGTTACCTCATTCAATGAAATGATAAGAGAAGTGATGGATGGACTTAAAAAAGTAATTACCAGACTGGAGCCTCATATGGATACTTAAGTGAAAGCAACAAATCAAGTACGTACCAATTATTTAAATTTTAATTGTAATATTCTACTTTTGCAAATGTTACTTGTAATGATTGTCCAAATTGTAGTTGCTGTTTCGAGATACACAGGAAACTTTTGGCACTCCTTTAGCACAAAGAGCATGGAAACAATCAAATTTAGGTTTTATTTTCAAAATTAAAAATTTACAATATATAAATACTTAAATAATTTTCTATCATATTTTGATTTATGTATAATGTAATGTAATTTTGTGCAGCTGAGTGGTGGATTATTCATGGCAGTTGTGCTCCTGAACTTCAAAAAATAGTTGTGAAAGTATTAAGTCAAACCACCACATCATCTCACTGTGAACGTAATTGGAGTACTTTTAGTCTCATCCATACGAAGAAGAGGAATAGATTGAAATATAAGAAAATTCAAAGATTAGTCTTCATCACCTACAACATGAGATTAAAATTGAGACACGTTAAAAGAAGTAGCCAAGAGGAGATTGATAGGAGTTTTAATCCTATTAACTTGGATTACATATTTGAAGAAGATGATCCAATAAGTCCATGGATAGAAGAAAGGAAAAATCCTTTACTAGATGGTGTGGATAATTCTGAATGGCTAGATTTGGTCTCAGATGATGATGGTGGTGGTAGCTACGACAGCAATGGCGATGGCAGCGATGGAAACGATGGTAGTAGCAGCCATAAATATCAAGCTCGACGCACTTCTCAAAGCTCAACTTCTACTCCAACTCAAAGTGATAATAGTGGTGGTTTAACACCATCTGATGGAGGAGGTGATGATGGTGATGGTGAAGGCACTTCTCACGGTGACGGTGGTGGTGGCGACGGCGACAATGGTGGTGATGGCGGTGATGGTAATAGTTTTGGTGCAGGAAATGAAGATTTTATTGGAGGATTTGGATTATGTGATGTTGGGGAACATTATGATATTGGAGAACCTGTTGCACCTTTACCCCAACTACATAGGAGGTTTCATGGTAGTGATACACGTAGGGATGAAAGAAGAATAAGAAATAGAGAACAACAGCTTGATTCATCTGATAGTAGTCATAGTTATCCATATCACCCTTACCCACCCTATAGCAGTGATAGCTAGAGCTATCCTTACCCACCTCAACAAAATAATCCTTGGCCCCCTCAACAACATGGTCCTCTAGGACACAGTTTGCCAAATCATCAACAAGCCTAAGAAGAGTATGTTGATCCTTTTCAGTCAAGGTATCCATTTTCTCTCCTAATGCACGAAACAGAAAGGGATGACATGATGAACACATTTACTTATATATTTCCTACTGGATGGGATAAAGGTAGTAGCAATCAAGCTCAACAATTTGATTCCCAAGATGCACCACGTCACTCATTTTGGTGGGGTGAAGGTCGCAGGAACAATCAAGCTCAATAATCTGAATCCCAAGATGCACCATGTCACTCATTTTGGTGGTGACATTATGTAATTTTAGTAGTAACATTATGTAAAATGTACTCTCTGTTATTTGTGATGTATGCTATGATGTTATATACTTTGTCAAGTTCTTCCATTAAGGATGTATACTTTTTAAAAATTATTTGAGTTAAAATCTACATATGCTTCCACAAGTATAATAATTAAAAATAATTTTATACATCTAAGTCCAATAAAAGAAATTTTTGCCGCAAGTGTAATATGGATTTATGACATATAAAGTCATTAATTATTAAAATAACATGTAAAAAAAAATCATTTTCTAGTGATTTAAACATATGAAATATATGGGATCATACTTAAAAATTATGAAAAATTTATCAAAATTTATTTTAAAACCCAATAAATATGATTCTAAAAAAAAATATGTGTATTGGTAAATTTTTTGCAAATTGTGCGAAAAATAAAAAAATTCACAGTTTTGGTAACCGCAATCGTTACGCTGCGGCCTTTACACCTCGCAACCGCAATCGTGCCACCGCTACCATTACGGCGACCGCAACCGCTTTTCAGAACCTTGGTTATCTCACAAAATTCTCAGTAAGAAAGATGAAATTTGAGCTTTAATTCCAACCTACACCTGTTTTAACCAAATTATTTTAGACCATATATTTTATTAGTTTATTAATATTGTACATAAGTTGGTATAAATTATACATTTTAAATAGTTTATAATAAAATAAGTTAAAGTTGGTGTCACTAAACATATATATATTATATATATATATATAATATTGTATATATAGTTACTTTCGGTGGTGCATTTGCCCCCACCATGCACTCTCATTATATATTATATTATATTATGATATTATAAAAAACAATCCACTCCACCGTTTCATGTTTGTTTGTTTGCTATGATTGGTTTCTATAAAAGGGGATAGGGGGGGAAGGAGAATAGAGATGAGAGAATTGAGGGAAAGGATCAGACAGAGGGAATTGAGAGGAAAAAAAGATCAGAAAGAAAAAAAAATAGTTTTTTTTTTTAAGAGAGGGAAAAATGAAATATTAGATATTTTATTTTTTCAAAACAAAACCTTTCTTTCCAATGCATCCAAACCAACCATTAAAGTTGAAATTTTGAATTTTGAATTGAGAATTGAGAACACATTCCACAACCTTTAAGGTGATTAGAAGAAAGTTTGTAAATCAGAAAATTTATCATTTCCTCGAAAGGTGAATTTTCACAAACTGTCATTTAATTTAAGAATGTGATATAACTTGTTTAAATACTTCATTTACTACTTTTCATAACTTTTTTTTTTCCATATCTGTTGTAAATTACTTTTTATATAATTGTTTTACCATTAATGGGAAGGCTGTACCACCCACATATCTGTTGTAATTTATTATTTTTTTATATAACTGTTTTATTACTTTAACGGGAAGGCTGCACCATCCACATATCTGTTGTAATTTACTGTTGTATATAAACTGTTATAATTTATATAAAACGTTGTAATTTACTACTTATATAAATTGTTGTCATTTTACCGTTTTAATTGGTCGGTCGAATCACCTAATTTGGTAAAGATGTGACTCCACCGGATGAATGGTGATCGACTGTGAATAGTATCCTCCGGTGGTAAATAGTAACTTCCAGAGGTGAATAGTAACCCCGACAATGCATAGTAACTGCAGACGAAAAATGCCCAATAAGATGAATAATGACCAAAGAGGGTGAATAGTAATTGCCAGGGTGAATAGTACTTTCAGCAATGAATAGTGCCCCCGGGATGAATAGTGCTCCCGCAAAATAAGTTTTTCCAGACAGAACAGTGTAGTCTTCCTGCTTTAAGCGGAACAGTTTCTGGTGGTTTTCAAGGCATATGAAGCTTTTTCTTTATTTTATTTTTATTTTGAGAGTTTGTGAGGATTTTTATATTTTGCTATAATATTTGTTTTCTTCCTCCTCCTTTATTTGGATATGTAATAATTCAAGTGTTGTAATAATTCTCCATCCCTACTTCTTTCTATCCCATTCTTTTACTTGCTTTCCTTATTTGTACATAAACATCATATCTATTTTTCATCATATTCATGCTTTGTATCCATGTTTCATGCATCTTGATTCGACTAAGTCTGTATTTGTGGATTTAATCATTTCCTATATGATTATGTGCGCTACCTCATATTCTTGAGATGATTCAGCCAAATCTTTAGTTGCATCTTATGAGTGAATTACATTAGGATTTTGTATATAAGATCATGCATGATTTACTAACTTTGTTTTGTAGCTTGTTCGCCGGACGTTAACCATATAAGTTTTTATCCTTTAGCATCCAGCTTGTGTATTTTTTTTTCTTATTATGTTTAAGTATCCTACCATGTGGCTACTTGCTTATTTGATATAACTGTATGAATGCTAGTGGATGGAGGTTGTGTAGCTT